GGAAGTGTATCATCAAGCTAGGCGTGCGTGAACGTCAGGGATGTACAAAATATTATAAAAAAGTGGTCTGAAAAACAGGACCAAAACTAAAAACAATTAAATCACAAAGAGAAGTATGAAACGTGAACCAATATAATATTATTTTGTTAATATCTCTGTACGTATTTATACTGAAACTATTAGTAATATAGGTAATTGTAATGAAAAGAAGAATATAATATGACCACAACTCGCAATGTCTTGCAAGACATTGACTAAATCATACTACTTCATTATTCAATTACATGTAAGTAATTTGACTTTTAAGTGACATAATATATGTATATGTACCTTTTAATTTTTAAAATAAATATGATTTTGTTTAGGATTTTACTGTTGCTTATTAGTACTTTGACAATTCTTTATTTTTATGATCTCGACTACGGTGGGGAGATAATTTTTAACTCCGTATGATGCCGCAAAAGTCAACAGAGCGATGATAGATAGTTACTATCTTCTTTTGATATGCACTGCCCTTTGACATTAGCTCAGTAAGTTTATCTCATCTTTCCTGGCGCTGACATTCTTAGTAACTTACTCAAATATAAACTTCACAACTTCACATACTTTATACATTTAATCCTACCGCATATTTGAGTACTTAGTCACTTAGACAGTGCCTAGAGAGTGATCAATGAACCTGGACACAAAGTTGTGGATCTTAAGTTTGAATCCCAACCAAAGAAATTTGAACAGCACAAATAGGTGTTTGTGTGTGAATGCATCCTGCTACTTTCACTCGATCTAACTACCAGTATGATGTCGATAATGGCATTGTTAATTGTTTTTAATTGAAACAGTGAATTCTATATCAGACATTATTCCGTTTGTTATTATTATTCGTCGACTGAGAATAACAGTGTCTTATTCGACTTCGACTAATAATTGTCAGGCATTAACTTTGAAAGAAGAAACAACAAATTAAGGAAGAAGCAAACTATGATAAAGTTTTATTCTGTATGATCAACGTAAAAACATAATAAAAAATGCTAGCAATAAATCATGTAGTTAAGTAGGTCGTTAGATTTCAGAAAAATCGATAGAATTAGGTTGGACAAAGTAAAAATCCAATCGGGAAGGTCAGAGACGACTCGAATTATGTTGAATAATATTGGCGAATAATTTGACTATTTGCCACAGGAAATACCGAATAATCGGCAACCGTTTATGTGCCATAACTACAGCAATTTATGGCATTTTTAATCTTGTCCCGTAAGCGTAAGAGTATAAGTAGTACGGAAACACTGTAGAATTAACCATAATTATTCATTTCTTTCTTTCCTTCAGCACCCGATTGAACAAACTACACATTATGTATATTTACTCATCGGTAATATAACGAAAACATGTTTTATTGTTCAACTTGAAACTTATGTAATGTTGCACTTAATAACTAAGATCTTTTATGCATATATTTGATTGGATTGTTAACTAAATTTTCTGTAATACGATGATGTTCATATAAACACCACTGTCTTTAAATGAAATCCTGAATCTTCAGCGCAGCTAAAGCCCAATAATATCAGTAATTCAATCATCTTTAAAAATTAAATACTGTTTTAAAAAAAATGAATGTACGTAATTCAAATTATTCAGTCGTTTTTATAATCGAAATCATGTCGGCGGTCACTTCCATAAATCATATAGGTGGTGGGCTTATTTTGTTAGCAAGTGAAGGCGATAAAGTTCCACTAGTGTTTCAATATAATTTTCCACATAATAAGAAAAGACTTATCTGTTTGTTCGCCTATTCATAATAGTTTACATAAAAAGTTAAAAGTTAACGAAAATATTGATGTGTTTTATCGTAAGACGAATGTGACGTTCGTAAAGGGGCCTGGTAGCTTTCTTATCACTGTAAAATGTTTGTTTCGACAGCATCGTCAACTATTCACTTGTGTCATCGCCGTATTATGTAAACCACGATGGGATAGAATTACGTATTCTAGCTTCTTAGTGGTATGTAGTAGAGCGCTTTGAAGATATGTTAAATTTACTCATTCTTGTTTAAAACTATTAACATGTTATACAAAGTGCCTTAACGTAAATATTAACATAATATATTTTTAACGATAGTCTATAGCAACAAAGCCAATTTTTTTTAATAATTTTCAAGTTATGAACATTGAACTTTCGAGCTATCGGAACTATACTAAGTATGACATACTACATAAAACCCAAAGATATTTTGTGTTGTGTCTTAATAGTTTTTGTTTCAATATTTAAATAAATTCATCCCAAAATATGATAAATAAATATCTCTGAGATAGGTCAATAACTCAGAACAAATACAGATATCATTGTTAAGCCGTTATCGGTCGGCGACAACAACAAGCAATTAGAGAAAAACACTCCCAAAACGATTGCTGATACTTCATGCAGTTATAACTTACAACGCTATGAAACAGCTTGTTCCATTATTTAAGTAGCACTTTAACGTTCGCTCGAACATGTTCCCCTGGTAGGAGAAAATCTCCATCAAGACTCTAGACTGTGTGCTACACGCCCAGTAATTATTACATGTAAGATTCAAATGATACTTTCGAAAGTAAGTCGCCACTAGCCGGTATTATGGTTGCCTCTGTTGAGGAAACTAACGATAGAAGCATGGTTTTTAAGTTTAATAGTTAATTTAAGAAGTACCAAAACGGAACAGTAAAATTATATAGATCACTTCAAAGAGCGCCTCCTACGAGTATCGACTTCCGAAAACCGAATGACAACTAACTACTGTTTAATAAGTAAATAAGACTAATTATAGGTACATTAAAATAAGAGTACCTACTCCTAGTTAATCATCATTACAATCATCATCATTATAACAGTTCACACGTCCACAACTGAATATATGAATATAGGCCTCCCCTAAGTAATGCTACAAAGCTCGGACCTGAGCCACCTGTATCCATCGATTAGCTGTCTTAAGAGTATACTCCTTGTAGTTGATACAATTAACAGAAAAAGACAAAAAGAGATGTATAATTTTAAGTGATAATAAAATATGATCTTATGAAAAAAATTGAATCCTTTTTGTATAGTACTAAAACCGTTAAGTGCGACTTTAAGTACCGTTTTACTAAGTGCTCAACTATGTATAAAAATTAAAAAAAAATGTCAAACCAAACCCCTTTCAGATATAACAAGGATCTGTACCCAGCAGAGGAACGTTTTTAGGCTTAAACATTAAGAGCTTATGAATATTCCCATACTGGAATCTCTTAAACATGAAGAGATTTACCGTAATTTTCACATCAAAACGTTCACTTCGCCATTAAAGTTGCCAGGAAATCCTTTTCAAAAGTTATATTTATACTGTGCTTATCACCCCTAATGGCTTTTTTACACCATAGAATTTCATTTGAAACAATGTTTATGTGGTCATATTTGCATATGTTTCAATAAAGAATCTTATCTCCGAGATTAGTCAACGGATATTGTAAAAGGATTTGAAATTAATCTATGTCTGGGACTACCGTGTAAATTTCAACATCCGATGATTAAAATTGACCTATTATATTTTTTTGTAGATAGATGATAATCCAATCAAATCAATAAATCGCAAGTAATTTTTGACAGTTCTTAATTTTATTAAAATTCAAAAAGTGTTCCGTTTTCTATTTTACATAGCAGCGTTGAGGTGTAGGTGGGTGAAAAGTCAAATCCGCTAAATAATAATACACAAAAATTAGCAATCTTGTTTTCGAGGAAGTATATCATAGAACTGTTACTCGGTAAAATTAAATAAAAACCGTCTCTAATCATGGTTATTCTAGCTTGATGCTAATATCCAAATTTTAAATTTATTCGGATAACCTTTCCATTTGACTAGCAACTCATTTCTGTGACATGTGTAACGTGTACGTACAATTTTATCCATCTCATATTTTTCTGTAGGATCATAATTAACTCTTTGAAATTCCTTTTCATAGAATTTTCTGGTAATGTAACGACGTAATAACAAGGGTTTTATACAATAGCAAGGGTTACCACGAACAAAGTTATCGTTAGAACTTGAAGCTACGCAAAGTTCAGCAAGAGTCGAAGGTTATTATATTCCAGTGCATCATGTTTAATGAGATGTGAGTGCAAATTTATTACACATGCATCTGACGATAAATTTTGCGCATATATAAAGCATTATTCACAATAAATTGCTCTAAGTAGTAAAAAACATTAAAATAGTTCGAGCAAGATTTATCTTGACGTATACGTATATCTTATTATTTACGCGAACACTACATATTGATTAAAACTACTTTTACGAATTTTATCACGTTTAATTTAAATGATTTTTAATTACCACTACCACCTGCTTGGGTGTGATAAATAAAATTGAAACTATACCCAAGCATACTACTGCAGGACTTCAAGACACAGTAAGTTCATTCTGCGTAGATCGGTCCATAAACAATAATTAAAAAGCTGAAGGTACCTACTCCGGGTTAGCATTGACATCGGTCAGTCATCAGTTGACGTCAGTCATCTACGTCCCCCGTCACCATGGGTGCTGGAAAGCACCCGAAACGTCGGGAACTGAAAATCATTTAAATTAAACGCGATAGAATCCGTTAAAGTAGTTTTAATCAAGAACAATTACTTTAAATTGCAAGATAACCCTCTAAGAAATGAAAAGAGACCTGTGCTCAGCAGTACGTATATAGGATAAAACTTTATCTCTAATTACGTTGTATGTATCATTTTTAGATGACTGAGACCTAATTAATAATTAGGGTAGGTACAGTGCGAGTCTAGATGTCTTATGTTCGATTTTGCAACTAATTACTATAATATAACTTAAACATTGTAAGCTTACTTACTTGAATCGGTAAAGAGCTATTTGTAAACATCCCTTGAAAACATGGTTGTAAATAAGTAATTGGTTTATTAGCTAAGAGCATAATATGCAATAAAATAATCATACACAAACATACGACATAGTGGTTTTAAAAATGTTTACTTACAAGTGCGAGTGCGCTTTCCGGGTACCATTTGCAAGGTCGCAGGAAAATTGTCAGAAGTTCATCATCGTCTCCAAAGTAAATGTCTTTGTTTTCCTTAAGGAGTTCTCTTAACCTTTCCAAGGCCTCGCGGACCCTCTCGGGAGTCTCTCGCAACTCCTTCTCGGCGATGTCCTTGGTTTCGGCCGATAACTCTACGTTGCGCTCGAGTCTGAGGTCACTATTACTCATTTTGACAGACTATCACGCGACTGCTGCGCCGTCTGCAAACAAATAAAAACATAAATAAAAAGAAGTGAAGACAGTAAGCTTCTTTTAATTCCAATGCATTTTAAACATTGACATGTAAACCTTATTATTTACATATTTGTGATTTTAAGCAAAGTTTAAGCAGCCAATATAAGAGCTAATTTACAAGTTTACAATACTTCCATCTTCCTTCCACAACTCCCATGTAACGTAGTAGTCCAGTAACGACTTTGAAACATACCGTGGCTAAGGAAAATTATTTACTCCTTGCACGCCCTTGGTTATTTTGGCATGTATTTTTAAAGAGCGAGTAACACTTGGTTTAATCATTAAAAACTTTATATTTGACATTGTAATTTTCACTTTCCAGCCAAAATTATTAGATTAGATTAAAAATAAAGTACGTTTCTATGTACGTGTACCTACTTCTTATCTGATCAATATTTCTTTAATTTAGGCATTGCGAAATCAAAAGCAGTGTAATATATTATATTCTTGTTATGTTTCTTAAATGCAGTATGTACCTATGTATTTTATGCACTATATTTTTGCACTTTTTTACATTATCAAAATTTTTATTTAAGCTACGAGTACATATTTCTCGCTTCATTAAAAGAATTTTCTTTTACCATTTCATTACTTAGTTTTGGTGTAAATGTTGTTTTACTTATACGAGCAATAGTTGGTTAACTCTATAGTATGTTTAACTGCATCCTATAATAACGCCATAGTATATACCTATATATATATATATATATATATATATATATATATATATATATATATATATATATATATATAAGGTTCTTACTTTACGATGTTGTTGAATTAGAATTGGAATATTGGCTAGATTTTAAGTACGATATTCAGTATTGAATTTCAAAATTTAATAAAAATCTCTTCTTCGTCTTATTAAAGCTATAAAATTGCTTTATTTTTTTTCCGCTCTTAGTTTTTAATTTTATGACGCTGTGTCAGCGACTATGATGGAATCTGTATAAACATGTGTAGATCGCTAAATGTTCGGATAAAAGTAGGTACGGCGGGTTTTTGGTTTCATCACTGACCACTAAGGTACGTGGTCCTTAGAATGATATTATCTGATCTATATCCGATCATAGGCCTTAACTGGGGAATAACAATACGGGCTCGAGCTAATCGCATCCATCGAATTCCTGCACGTCTTTTACCAGGCCCTCACTCCATCTAGAGGGATGAAGTTCTATACTTCGCTTACTGGAATGAGGCTTTCACACGAGAACATTTCTCCCCTATAGTTTGTCGGTCATTATATGGGCGGCCCATGGCCACTACAACTTAATGATCCGTTAGGCTGTATCGGTAACTCCGGTTCTAATATGGGTAAAAGAAGACAAAATATTCGTAGATAACGTAATATCATTAAAAAGTATTCATTGGTTCAAACGAATTACAATGTAATACCATAAGTTCGATAGAAATGACACGCTGTCGTCTTTTTTCTTACAAAAAATAATGAATAATACTTTCATTTAAAGAATAAATAAAGGAATATAACTTCGATTGAAAATTCGGATAATTAACGTCTACACTTTATTTTCCCATAACATCAATAACGTATATAATTTTTAACAAAGGAAAAAAGAATTTTTCAAAAAATTGAAATATTGGGGCTTCTCTAGCGTGGGGGTCCTATACATACATATACATTTACGCCCTTGCATAAACGCCATACTTTAAACATAACACTATTTTGTCATTTTCGTATCCTTTCGTAGCAGTTCCCATAAACCACTACTTTTTGTCTCTGTTGTTTACAACACACGTCTTCTTTCGTATTCATCCAAACTTTCCTAAGTGCTATCCATTAAATCCAGGTTTAAGAAGTTGAGACGGTGCCCATATGTTTTCCAGACACTAAAAAACATTATAATCAATATCATCATTTCAGTTTATCTACAAACCAACGAAATGGTATAAACTGAAGTACCAAAGTTGTCCTGTTTAGTGCCTAGTACCTAATAAATCATTCGTTGACATGGGCCCCTTACTAGATGTGATCTACCTTTAACTTTCGCTGTCCCGTGCACTACATATAGGTCATTGCTATTGTCTTACTATTGTGTCTGAAAACCGGACGGTAAGTGTTCATATCGCTCATCTACATATTTTATATCTAGTAACTTTTGAGTCAACATCTAAAGACTAATCAAATTATTATAAATATTTAATTAAAATAATTAGGTTGACTGGAACATATTTCTCTACAGCAATAAGTCCGCCATATATTATGTACCTACTACTTTGTGCATTCAAGTATAAATAATAAATAAATAAATCAAGACATAATAATCAAAATAGCAAACTCACTTTGGTGTGTACTAAAAAGAATTAAGTAAAGTCGACCTAAACTTAAAATTAAAAACAAAAACTTTTATTAAAATTTAAAGCCTTCAACTTCAAAAAAATAAAAATACTTAATAAAATAATTTCACACTGAAGTCGGATCTTTAATATTTCTATACTCGTAATCTGTCTCAGCCCCTTCACTTCAGAATGTTAAATTAGAACGAGATAATGACAAAAATACATTATATTTTGTTTTATTAAATTTTACAGAATATACATATTCTATACAAGACTTTTACCGATTTTATATGTTTTTAAATATTTCGAAAATAGGGGTTGTGGGGCGAAACTTAGACTAGCGGCAGTGACCCATGCTACGCCACTTCTGACCCATTTATCTTTGACGCAAAATAACTTCTTTAATGATTGTACTAACGCCCAAAAGAAACTTTCAAAAATAAACTATTTGTAATATAAAAACAAACAATATCTACACTATATATCACCTTAGCGATAAAATACAGACTGTTTAAATAATTTTTAGAAACAAAGAATAACGTTATTGATAAATAGCGCAATACACGAACAATGCTCACATTATTGCACTGTGCGAGGCCGAACATCAAAAAAACTAGTATATCTATGCTCCAGTTTCCACGTGTAAGAAAAATATAGTGAAAAATCACACACTAACCTCACTCGCGGAAACTCGCGCGTCGATGAATACGACAAAGGGCGGGAAATCGATAGCGCAGCGGTGAGAGAGCGCAAGTGTGCGCGCGCGCACCGCCGTTGCGGTTATATACACGGCCGATATCAGCCGCTTTGTGCCCCCGAGAACCGTTGGCGCCTGTTCCAAAAGGTCGAAGAGGGGCGGAAATTCTGATAGTGAGGGTAAACAATACCGCGCTTCCAAATGTGGACTTTTGACTTGGTACTTTAGAACAAAAGGGCTTTGTCTGTAACAAAATATTTTATTTCACTTTGCAATTGAAAACTATTGCAAATGTGTAAAATTTGAACGCAATTTTTCATAAAAATAACACTAATACGCGAACATCTTAAACACGAAAATCTATTCAAAAATCGACTGGGAATGTATTAAGTCTCCGCCCTAATTCCCTTGAGAGGAATGCATGCCAACAACATCGAACTATATTACTTACTAATTAGAAGTAATACCTCAATTGCCAACATAAGGCGTGGTTAAGTTGTAAGAGTATCTAGCAATTTATTATCGTAAGTCCCGGGTTACAATCATTGCGAAACCAACATTAGTGCGTTGTTTCTTTTCCTCTGGTGATTATTCTCTAGCCAACTTTCGATCTTTTTTTATCTCCATTATAATGTTTTTTATATAGGATAAGGTAACAAACGAACACACAGTCCACCTGATGGTAAGTGGTTGCTGTGACCCATAGACATCTACACCTATCCTCGATTACGAATCAAAATGCAGATGCGTTGTCACCCATGAGGACTAAGATGGAATGCCTCGTTTCCAGTAAAAAGGGTCTCCGGTTCTCTACACTCACCATACGAAATCTATTTCACGCTGGTATTCTGTGAGAGCGTGTCCTTCCCCGGTCGAGCCGACCCATTCGTGCTACAACTATGCTCCTAATATAACTGCAGCATGGCTCTACCACGTACAAAATTGCATATATATTATTATAATCATAACAAACAAACTAATATTCCACTCTTTCCCAAGATACTATTGCCCCCGTAGCCCTAATTCCGGCTACATACCGTTTTTTTTAAACTAACCAAAACTGCCATAAAAATAATTTGCCAAACAGCGATCAAAACCCCATAACAATTATTTGCCGAACGGCGAAACAAACATTTTTGTTCGATACCTATTAGGTATTTTACAATATTTTTATGTACATATAAAATAAATTGATCTATGTCTGCCTGCATTACTGTGTGCCCGTGTGAAATTATATGATTAATTCTTATTCTCAAAATTAACTGTAGTTATCTGGTATATTGTTAAAAACATTTTTCACACATTTATATACGAGGTAAAGCCATCCTGCAGCTATATTATGGTTGTAGCACCAATGCTCGACCGGGTAAGGACCACGCTCTCACAGAATACCAGCGTAAAATAGCAGTTTAATGATGCTGTTTCGTACGGTAAGTGTAGAGAAGCGGAGACCCGTTTTACTGGAGACGAGGCATTCCATCTTAGTCTTTAGGGGTGGCAAAGAATTTTGATTCTTAATCGAGTATAGATGTAGATGTCCATGGGACACAGCATCCACTTACACGTGTGTTCGTTTGTCACCCATAATCTATAAAAAAATAAAGTCGTATATAAAGTAATGTAAAGTTATAAAGTAAAGTCGTATATAAAAAAAGTTTTTTACGTGGTAGAGCCATGCTGCAGTTATATTAGTAGTATAGTTGTAGCACGAATGGGTCGGCTCGACCGGGGAAGGACCACGCTCTCACAGAATACCAGCGTGAAATAGTAGCTTAATGCTGCTGTATTTCGTATGGTGAGTGTAGAGAACCGGAGACCCTTTTTACTGGAAACGAGGCATTCCATCTCAGTTCTCACGGGTGACAACGCATCTGCATTTTGATTTGTAATTGAAGATGGATGTAGATGTCTATGGGCCGCAGCAACCACTTACCATCAGGTGGACTGTGTGCTCGTTTGTCACCCTATTCTATAAAAAAAAAAAAAAAAAAGTAAATAAATAAAGGCTGCTGCTGCTGCAGTGGCCATCTGCTACCAACAAATAAAGAAGGCTACAGATGCGTAGTCATCTCTGAGAACTTAGATGAAGCCCCACAGAGCTTGTAATTATCATCTTTATACCTCCAGAACGGAACAGACCTTAGCGACAGAGGTAAAGTAGTCCAAACCACCTAGTTTAATATTGATATTATCGTAAACCCTCGGTAGACTAAGCGTTTGCTTGTAGCGTCATATATTGTGCGCTTTTTATTTTACTTTGCCTATCGGGCCTCGAGTATGAATTCCGAGCGGAACTAGTTGTTTGTATACAAAGTAAATAATTGTTTCGGATATGGATCTGGTTATCCATGTGACGTATGTATGTAAAACGTATGTTAAACGGCTCCACGATACAAGTGACACGACAGAAATCCTATTTTAAATATAATAATATAATGTTATATTAATAAACCAATTAATGAATGGAATAAATAAGATTATAAAATAAATACTTTATTATTAATAATTATACGAAGATGAGAAGTAAGTACTAAAAAAAAGGTAAGTATCTCACTGCAAACAGAAAAGACTAGAGGAAAAGCATATTACCAAGGGTACCTACCTAAATCACAAAATATGCTACTGCAATTTTATTTTTCCCATTACTGCATTGTCTTCCGATTATGAGCTATGTTCCAAATTTCAAGTTTTAAGTTCATCGGGAAATGCCTGACATTAGAGTTTCAAGATTCCACCCAGAACGACAGGCAAGACAAACAAACAAGAAAATGACTTAAATTCATTAAAATCAGTTCACTATTGACGAATATATCGAGATGTTGAAAAGAACGTAGCGTCGAATTGAGAACTTCCTCCGGTTATTGAGGTCGTCTAATAATCTGTATATACCGCCTGCACAAATCAATAAAAAAATAAACAAATTACGCAGTATTATAATAAGTCTATGAATATGAAGTAAATTCGAAATGCTTCGTCTATAGTTGACGTGGATATCTAAATATAGACAATACACTTAAATAAATAAGAAAATGCACAACATCTTATATATTAAAATATGTTTTAGTTTTTGTTCATATTTAACAAAGAAAAGAAGCACCAAGCGAACAAAAGACAACCCAAATGCGTATCAGTTCCTGTTTTTTTTAAATGTTAACGACATTAAATACGTACATACATAATATATCTAAATAATGGTGTGAAGGATATTTAACTTGATTATAGTTTATAGTGTAGTTCAGTGATGACTGAAAGTTTTACTACGCAAAAGAGGTAGGTAGGTCTGTAGAGCCTACATAACAGCCAAGGCTAAAGCAGTAAACGACAAAATATTGACATGTGTTCATTGATAAAGTGCACACTATCGCTATAGACAAGGCGACAGTGTCACGGGTTATGTCGGAGTTGCGTTGACTAAAACTAAATGGTGTTCCACATTCCCTGCATATTCGCAGTCACGTGAATGCTTTCGATCACATCAATAGCCCTACCAGCACTAGCCGCCCACTTGCAGCCTCTTCTCTGAAGAGGAAAAATCCTTCCCTTTTTCGCGGGAATCACCACTCGCCATTGGGCCTCAAAAACGAGCACTTAGAAGCACTACAGACACACATTTAAACTACATTGAATACAAATTTAAGGATTACAGTATTGTGGTTATGTTATCTATCGATTTAAAATAAATCATAATTTTAGAAAATCTCTTATAGCTACGTATTTGAAACAAAAATCTTATAGTTTTTAATATATTATACTACAAGCGCATAGGTATGGAGCCACACTGAGCGACGTCTACGTGCTGTTTGCTGCTTCCAGCCTCCCGAAAAAGCCGGTTTCCGTAAGGGATTTAGTACAATAGACCATACACATTCCCTTCTGCAATCTGCCATTATGTCTTGCGTATGTGGACTATGAGAAAGCCCTTGATTCCATCGAAATTTGGGCGGTGCTGCAGTCCCTTCAGCGGTACCAAGTGGACTATCGGTATAACGAAGAAGTAGGGCTACGATGGCTATCCGAGTAAAGGTAAAGGTTCTCGAGTGGCAGCCTCATACCAGCAGGTGAAATGTAGGGTGACCCCCCCACTAAATGGAGTGACGACTTAGTAAGAAATGCAGGAAATTGATGGATGCAGGTGGCTGAGGACCGTGCTTTGTGGCATTCCTTGGGGGAAGCTTTTGTCTTCGGCAGTAAACTTGGGAAGGGCTGTAATAATGATGATAATGACGTAGGTATCTCTGAATACTGTTTAATACATTGTAAGAAGCACTGTAGTGAGTTTTTAATAATAATTTTACTTTATCATTATTATTACAGCCCGTCACAAATCCACTGCTGAACAAAGACCTCCCCCAAGAAATGCCGCAAAGCACGGTCTAATCTTTATACAATTCTTGTCCGTGTGTCTGACTCAACTCCTGCTAAACGGCTGGACCGGTTTTGATGAAATTTTGTGTGTACGTTAATTCGAGAATGGTTTAGATTCACCATTGGACCCGGTAGTTGGCGCTATTATCGAGATCAAGAAATCACCCGTGCGATGCCGGGGCGGATATACTTAGATACCTTTTAGCTCAGGATGCTGAAGATGATGAGTCATGTTAGAAACTTTCGAAAATAATTATTTTAATATATTTGTCATATGTACTTAATCTTTTAAAATAATTGTTTGCCTCTTTAAAGCTATTTTAATTGTTGATAAATTCACAGCTGTAAAATCGTCGACCCTGAGCGATCCGTTCGCGAGTGTTAGTGGTTTCAAAGATCATATTTGTAACAACGCTGACACAATTTGAAAATGACTCACAATTTACCGAATGCTTCCGTTGTAAAATACAATAATAGATTCGATCGAAGATTCAGTTTTGATCTGGTTTGTAATCACTTTTTTACTATTATTTTTTTCTCATTCTCTTAGTATCGTATAGTAAAAGGCGACCCTAGATCGTGTGGTGTAGCCTTATTCGTAGCAGTACAACCATATCTTATTCATACCAGATATGAAATCCATAAACCAGAGAAACAGCGTCAGTGGTGCGAGACGTCTGGTACAGCGATCTACTCGAAAGGAAGGTGGTTACTGGGAAAACATAATTTAAAAATACTGCAAATTTCAGACCAGTAATAAGTCAATATAATTAAAGACGGATTTCAGCATCACCTCAACCTGGTGCCAGTAGCATTACTTAAACAATGCCACTGGCACCAGGCGAAAGTGATGCTGAAATCCGCATTATGTTTTCCCATTAATTGCCCCAGCAAACATTTTAAAATACATTAATGTCAAAGTCATATCCAGCAGTAGACAAAAGCTGTTGATGAAGATGTTGATACGTCCTGCACAGTAGGCAGCATTCATTTGTTACATAAATACCAACCTTAATATTTACACCTATTACTTTTCTTCCTCCTCAAGCAGCAACACTTTTCCTGACATACCGCGGGAGATAGCGACCATCAATCCTCATGACAATCAAGTTGATTAAGGCAAATTCTTTCTACCATGAAGGAGATTACCCCTCCGTTGAGCAATGGACTGTTTTTGACTGAGAATCCGTTATAATATCTATCGCATACAAAGCTTTGCAATATGAAATTGTTAATGTCTCTTTCTTAAGCTAATATTATTTTTTTATATGATCCTATCATATTTAATAGAGATCATTAACAGAAAATACTATTCGTGTTTACGTAGGCCTTGCTCAGAGGTACCACCCACGCGTGAGCAATGAAAGGACATTAAGTTATTCAAACCCCATCTTTTCCATCTTCTCCGCATACCGGCAGGGCCCCGGGAATATAAACTGACTATACTATTTGTATACAGTCAATCGGGGTAACTTTGATTAACTAGGTTAACTTGGACAGTTAAATCGCAAAGTACTTATTTTTTACGTAAACATTTAGTGCATAACATTTTTATGCAATTCGTGTACTTAAACAAACAAACTTCGTAAACGAACTCTCTAGAAAAAAAAAATACTGTAGAACGAAACTAACGTTAAAAACTTTTCTGAAAGTACCATGCGCAACTGTTGTTGTCTTTTTGCAACGGTAAACTGGGGATAGAGTAAGTCAGCTCAAATTCTAATTTCGTCCCCACTTCCCCGCGCGTCGTGTGTACCGACATGTTTGTAATCACTAATACTGTAAGTAGAAAGGTCGTTAGACACTTATTTCATTATGTTTATCATATTTATGTCTGTTTCTTAACGCTAAGCCAGTCGCTTCTTATTTTTATTACGGTTATTTCCCATTTTAATTTTACGTCGTCCTGTTGCGTAATGTATATTCTGATCGTAAGCGACACAACATCCACGTTTAAAGACCGAAGCGAAGTGGAAGTGACCGTGGCGGACAGGAATCACGCTTCAAAAGGCCGATAGTTTAGGTAATTTCTTTTTACAGTGAAAATAATGGTATTTTAAAAAAAGTAAATAACATAAGCACTACTTTATAGTTAGTTCAGTTAGTATGCAAAGTTTCATGATCTTATTTAAAGTATTTTATAAATAACAGCGGTTTATTGTTTATTTTGGAGGTAACTTTGGATTTTTTTTCTATCGAGAAAATTTTACGAAATCGTGTTTTCGTCTAATATAATCCTTAATTAATCCTCAACTTTACCATATATCTATTTCAAAATTAATGCTGCAATATTTTCGGCATAACGAAGGATCTTGCTAAGCCATTTGAGATTATATTTCCCCTTAAAAAGAAATTTTAATTGTGATTTGTAAAGAATTTAAATAAAGATAGAACTACAACTTGGTATGGTACTATCGTTTTATTGATTTGTGTGTGACTCCACTGGATCTGAAATTTGTAAAAAACATAAAAGTAATGTTACCCTGAAGCTATAAATTTTTAAGTTATGATTCCCGTGACAAATCTCATCTGTGTCAAAGTTATATAGGGGTTATAACTTTGCCACACAACAACACAACAAAATTGCCAGCTTTTGATATATTCTATTAATTTTATAGACATTAAATAATTTGAAAGTATGAAAACCAACCTGAGAACACAGATTAAGTTCACTGTCTTGTGTCATATTAAACATAGTAAAAGTTAACTACAAAAATATAGTGATGATCTATCAAAGTTACCCCGATTGACTGTATTATAAATCATTTTAGTTATGCCTATTACTAGTATTTCCATTGTTTCTCAAACAATGATATGAATAAATTTGCTTTAAGCATAAATCAGTTTGACAGTTAAGCGTTACAAAGCCGTAATGCGATAACTTTTACAATGTAAGACGAGCCTCCCGAAGCGTCTACAGCATTATGTACCAAAAGGTCAGGAAACAAAAAGGAAAGGTTTCAGCGATTTCAGGATTTCGTATATGTCATATAAAAATAAAATAATGTTTTAGTCGTGGCCACTGTCTCTATATATGTCTCTATAGGCGAGCTATTTTCGCCAGTAGATCTATGTATCTACGTTATGTAGGACCAAATTATGGGTGAAGGTTAGCTAAAGCAAACGCGATAGTCATAAAAATTTACTCTATATTCATAACAGTAATCCAAGCAACAGATTTGTGTCGGGTGCTTTTTAGGTTTAGCCGCAGGTTTTTATGTCATGGTGACTCGGTGCTTGATGTAGGTACATCAAGCAAACACTAGCTGGGATATTGGATTCTCTTAGTCCATGGAACCAAGCGACTCAAACCCAGTTCAATCCAATATTAACTTACAAAACTAAGTGTAAAAAAGTCCCCGCAGTTTTGCATTTGCTAACAAAAAGTATCTAGTGTAAAAGTTGATATCATTATTAACAAACTGTCATCCATGCTTCCCAGAAATGGGCATAGCTATCGGACTTACAAATAACATTTTCATAGGATGTTTATTCGTCCTTAGATAGCATTTAATCTAGAATAATTATAAAAGTATATCATTTAAAAGACATTGTTTCGATTATGAGTGACAATAGCAGATAATTTTTAATTTTTTGTATTTCATTCCTATCAGGATAGAGATATATGATAGCGGTAGTGAGAGAGTAGGGTTGATAAAAATACAAACGAACATTTAGAGAAATATTTATTGGTTTATCGAAGAGGTATCGTCCAAATCGATCGCAGGATTGGTCATGCCATCATCATCGGAATTTGAATTCTCGTCGCTGCTACCCATACTTCCTTGCTGCAACGTAAAATACCAAACACTTAATTATGTCTTCACTAATATTATCGTATGCACAAATTAAATGAAATAGATTTTTTTTTGCGCCCGAAGCAAATATGGGCAACCCTCCGGAAAGCGGGGGAGGGAGGCGGTGAATGCTCATAGCATACCACGCAGCCGGCTGCGTGGTTATGTGGAGACTTTTACCCACTAAACACCGCCTTTTAGGAAATGGCTTAACGATCTGACTAGAGATCTCTAAGCCGTATACGAACGCGACCCTCCTTGGCAGAAAGGAGGGTTAAATAGAGCTGCATTATCATCACTTAGGACTAAAATGTGCTGATATTCATGGAGAAGTCTCCAGCATTGGGCCGCTATTTTATACTGGCAGGTCTTCATGGTCGAGTCGGCTCATTCCAGCTTCAACCATAATACAGCCGTAATACAGCTTCCATTCCATTTCATTTTTAATAAAATTATGTAGTACTTATAATATATAAGTTTTTTCCTAGTAAGTACAGATCGACTGTAAAACTTACAAAAATAATTTTCACATACTAAAGTTGTGCTAAGACATTATGTATCGAAGAATTAATTCCTCAACTTCAGAACCTTTTACATAAAAACTATTTTTTTTTTAATTTTAATATTGGTTTCATTTTTAAAAGCCTCTTTTTTGGTTTAAGTTTAAAGTGGAAATACTCTTTTTAAGTGTCATTATTTTTACTGGTTTGAGTGGTCCAAGAATATCGTCTAAATAGTTACATTAAAATCTTCATCATAGGCGATAATGATTTCTACCCGTATGAATTTGTTTGGTATAATCCCTGAAAAAGATACCGGCCAAATACAGAACCTTCTCATTTTTATAATTCGATTAAAAATAACATTTTGTTTCTAAGTCGAACTGCAGTTAATTTTTTTATCACTTCTACTTACTTCGATTTTGAGGTCTGCGTTATGAGTGGCGAGTAAGGTTTGCTTGACGTATCGAAAGATGTGATCACGACATATCTGGTCTGTGTTTGGAGGCAACCAGCCTCGCTTCTCGTGGCAGAGGTAGCCTTGAGGCGGTTCTGCAGATAGGATCTCCTCCACTTCGGGCAAATGCACGTCACAGTACTAAAAACCAATTATTTATTTTTATGATACTTACATTAATAGAATATATAAAGCATTTCATTATCATAATCATTAACAACTATATTTTAAGGAAATATATTTTAAGGAAATTAATATATTAACTTTGACCTCTTAATACATTTATGAAAATGTAATGTACGTACACAAAAATAAAAGTAGTTTTGCAAAAATAAGTGATATTCATTCTGTAAATATTAGGAACAAACACAAGCTAGTAGTACCAGCAACTGGACTTCAGTGAATCAGTAATTCATTCTTGGGGTTATGTATACGCTTTTAGAACAAAATCCCAGAATATATACAAAATTTGACATACATAAAGTTCATAAAACTTTATTAAACTAAGTTTGTATAAAAAGGGTTATAATAATATTAAGGAATTTCCGGATTATAATAACCCCTGGGAAGGGTGATCGCTACCAAGCTATTTCTAATTTGTTTTGTGTTGTTAATTGTAACGTACATGATTGTAAGCTGTAATTTAAAAAAATAGTCCCGCTGGGTTTCTTGCTGGTTCTTCCTTGGACTGAGGTTTTTTTTGCAAACCAGTGATAAATGGAAAAAAGTGACTTTCAACTAGTCTTATTTATAATCCATAACAATAAAATAATAATAAAAGCCTTTTATTCAGACAAATATTAGTTGATACATTCTTCCATTTTTATTGAAACTAATTTTGCCACATCCCAGTCTGTGTGCCTCTTTCGACAAAGACCTCCTCCAACTGTGACCATTTTTCTCTGTCACCAGCCACTCTTGTCCATGTGCCACCTGCAATAGCCTTTATTTCATTGATCTATCTTATGGATGGTCTGGCTCATTTCCTTCTCTTGTTTATTGTGAACCAGAATATTATTGTTTTTGACCACTTTTCTTTGCCCCTGATTGTATGTCCTGTCCATTTCCATTTCAGTTTTCTTATGGTTACTGTAATGTCTTTTGTTCCGGTATGTTTCTTATTTTTTCTGTCAGTTTTTTCCTCAACATACTCCTTTTCATAGCATTTTGGCACACTACAAGTTTTCTATTGTGAGATTTAGTAAGTGCCCAGGTTTGGCAACCATATGTCAATACATGCAATATACACTTATTTCTTTGTTTTTCATAATCTCTTTAAGATTACAATATTGTTTCCACGCGTTCCCAATTAGTCTATGAATTTCTTTTGAAGTTGCATCTGAAGGCGAGATTACTAAACCCACATATATACATTAACAACAACAGGACCGTGCTTTGTGGCATCACTTGGGGGAAGCCTATGTTCAACAGCGGACTTGTGAAGGGCTGTAATGATGATGATAATGATGAAATGGGTTCGTCTTGGCGTACACCTCTTCCTATTTTTATTTCCTCGCCTTCTCTTTCTAGTTGGATTCTAGCTTTGCTGTTTTTATATTCGCTTTTAATTATTCTTATGTATTTATTTTCGATGTTCAAGTGAGTCAAAAAAAAGTAAAAGTAAAGTTGACATTAACCTAATAGGTCTATAATTATTTATTTTATTCTTATCTCGTTTCTTGTGTAGCAGTATTATGGTTAATATTGCCCACTGATCAGGTATTACCTCGCTCTCCAAAAGTTCATTAAATAGATATGTCAGAATTGGTATAAGGTAATCTTTATTTTCGATAAGAAATTCGTTACCGATTTCATCTGAACCGTGAGCTTTATCTTTCTTTTGAATTTTACAGCTTTTTTTTCCACTTCTGCAGGTAATATATCTAGTACTTCTTCTCCGCCCG